TATTTAACCCTTATTTTTCCAGGTAAACTGTTTGAAAACCACTTCTCATTTACAAACATGACCTGGCACTGAGTGCATTTTAATATACAAACCTACAGATTCAGCCAGAGTAAAGTGATTGTAAATTTTAATCGTGATTAAAATTTTTAATCTAAGCCCATGCAGCACTAAAATTAGTCAGAGTTAATTTGATTAAATTCACAGCCCTAGTTTAAACATTAAATATAATCTTTGTAGTGAATTCAATTGAATATAGGCTTAAAAGGATTTAGTATCATAGTATTCTATATTTAATAATGCTTTACACAACTTCCTAACAACATGGAAATTGGGATTTGTATAAACAAACAAATTTGAGTTAATGGTACAACGTGTCTGTAACTTGACAGTTTATCTTATTAATTCCTGGAGTTTTTAAATACTTAATTTAAAACCAAAACTCAAAATGTGAGGAAAAGGACATTTTAAAATGTGGTTGAATGAGCATAACAACYATATTATGTGTGTTGTTTTGGGTTTAACAACATGTAACATAACTTYAAAACTCTAATGAAACTACCAGCTCTGAAATTAATACATACTGTACAACACAGACTTAGAAAACAAAAACAAATGCATCACACAATATCTGAGTCCAAAAAGCTACTAAAAAAAGAAAACATGTTTTTATTTTAAATAAAGAAAATGAACAAGAAATGCACTTACACTGCTCTTCCTTCTGATCTTTCTGCAGCAGCTCCTCTGGACTGGGACTGGACTCTGCTGTGGGCAGTGGCTCAACCAGACACACAGCATAAAGCTGGAGGCTTTCCAACCCACATCCTTCCTCTTCCCAAACACAGCCTCTCACCACTGGTTCCAGAACCTTCATCTTCTTCTTACTGGACATCAGCTCGTCCCACTCCCTGGCTTTAAGTGTCTGTCGCAGTTTTTGTTTCTCCAGGTCCCCACTCTCCTGACAGACGGTACGTTTGTTAGCAGAGTTTTTAAATAAAGCAACACTAAACATAAATTAGATGAACATTTGTCATAAATATAATGTCTTATTTCATGTCAAACTCTTTGCCTGTGTACATCAGACTGTTACATAAAAAACTGGGGTAATTTTGAGAGATGAAGCACCCACATCTTCCACCACCCTTAACTGGCCACAATAATGACTTCATAAAATGACTGGAAGTAAAAGTTCATCACGTCACTAAGACTTGGAAACTTGACAACAGAGAAGCATCACTTTGCAGAACAGATTCAAACATCAGCACAGAAGAGGCCAATAGAAAGAAAAACTATAAAGACAGACAGTGAAACATGATAGCTGCAGCTAGGGCTGGGTTTTAAAAAAAATCGKTTTAATCGATCTGGATCGATTTTCGTTCAAATTTGGGAAAATCGATATTTCCCCATGGGTGTTGTGGCGATGAAGCTGTGCGTTTCCATGTTGTGTGTCACTYTTGGCTTGCCGAAGGCTTACAACCGCTTGATGTTCAGCACTAATGTTAGCTCCAGACAAMAAAACAAAAGAAACAAAAGAATCACCAACATTACAGCTGATTCTCAGCAGAACTTAAAGATAACAGAGACCAGGACAACTTTTGGACGTGGGAGCAGTAAACTAAGCTTTGAACGGCTCGAACCAAAGCTACAGTATGTAAACATCTGACTGTAACTGTTCTCCTCCTGTATAAATGTGTGAAAGATGTCAGTCTAACAAAATGTGACTCATCTAGAGCTGCCACAAACGATTATTTTTATAGTCGATTAATCACCAATTATTTTTTCGATTACTCGACTAATCAGATCAAACATTAATTGAATATAAAACATAGAGCTTATTGCGCCAGAATTTAGCTGCTATTATATAACCATGGTTAGATTTTAG